AGGAGTTAAAACTGGGCTGGATTTTGCAGCCAGCCCAGCAGTGATGCCCCAAGGAGCAACCTTCATGACCCAGCCCAGAGGTGGCTGAGTTGAGGACTCACAGAGTGGTAATGTCACATTTGGCCCTGAACTTGGTGAGAACAGTACTATGTAGAAACTGTATTAAGTCTGAGCTCTCTCTGAGGTGATACAGGGGAAAATGTGCCCCCAAGGGGTTGGGGAGTGTCAGGGTTGTTTTTACTTCATTTCTTGCTATGTCTTCAAAGCAAAGGTCCTTTTGTAAAACCTAATTGATGTGAAATGGTTTAATGGAACTGGAGTTCTAGTGCCTAATAGCTAATAGTGGAAGGAAAACACCAAAATCGGTCTTGAGCCATAACTGAAGAGAAGAGAACTCCCCCACCCCTGACCACTCAGTGTTCCCTAGAACCTTGACAGACAGATGCAGCTGGCCTTGCTAGAAGAGAATGAAGCCAGAGATACCTGCTAAATAGATACTGGTTTACAATCAGTAAAAAGGTAGTATTGGTAAATTGAGTGCCATTTGCAATGAACAAAAAAAAATGGGCCAGTCTGGTTGGATTGCCAAATTCTTGGAGGGGAATAAGGCAGAGGCTGCAATGGGCCTGCAACTCTCCCAAGTGCTGCCCAAATCAGAATAAAATATAATTGGGAAATATTTAACAACATGAACATGAACTAGAACATAGAGGATATTAATGTGCAGTTTTCTAAATCAATGTGTGCCCACAGAAATCTTTAGGTATGGTTTAGTGACCCTGTTTCCATTTGAACAATGATACAGAAAGTGAACCAAGAAGGGTGCTACCCTTTGTTAAATCATTTGGGTTTTATGATCATTGATCAGTTGCATACTTGTTCATTCATAAACTAATTTATTTCTGATGGAAATTTGGTTAAAATTACTGGCCAATCAATAATTGGCTACTGAGTATAATGTGCTTTTACATAAAATAATTTATCTCCCTTTATAAACAAAAAATCTATTTGAACAGTACAAAATTTGTTAAGGCTTAAGGTTCTTTTTCCACCCTACCCCCATAATCTTTATGAATAAGGATACAATTTCTTGGGACTTGTCAAGAGGGTTGTATATCCATTGCTCTTTAATATTACACCCTGCTTAAAATCTTCTGGTTAAGACTACATTAAACATTCTGAGTCCTGCAAAGCATCTTAAGAGAAAAGACTAAAGAAAACGTTCATCTCTTTAAAGGGAAGGAAGTATATCAGCTCTTCTGACGTAATGAAACTTCATAGGAATATAAAACTGCCGTAAAGAAACCGCTGGTTTGCATTTGCTGCTGACTGCTAAAAATAGAAATGTATTTTTCTGCCTCCATGTAGTAAGCAATACACTTGTAGAGATTTTATGCTTTTATTTTACAATTATTAAAACAGTAAAATTAAACTTATAGCAAATACCTTTTAAAATGAGCCCTTGAAATTGTGAAATGATCCAACCATTTTGCAGAGCAATTTGGAACTATGCCCAGAGGACTATAAAAATGTGCATATGCTCTGACCCAGCAATAGCACTTCTAGGGCTGCATCCCAAAGAGATCATACAAATGGGAAAAGGGCCCACATGTGCAAAAATGTTTATAGCAGCTCTTTTTGTGGTGGCAAAGAATTGGAAATTGAGGGGATGCCCATCATTGGGGAATTTTAAGGTATATGAATGTAATGGAATACTATGGTGCTATAAGAAATGATGAACAGGCTGACTTCAGAAAAACTTGGAAAGACTAATGCTGAGTGAGGTGAGCAGAACCAAGAGAACGTTGTACACAGTAACAGCCACATTGTGCAATGACTAACATTGATAGACTTAGTCCTTCTCAACATTGCAAGGATCTAAGACATCTCCAAAGGTCTCATGATGGAAAATGCTATCCACATCCAAAGAAAGAACTATGGAGTTTGAATGCAGATCGAAGCATAGTGTTTGCTCTTTTTTTCCTTCTGTTTTGTTTTGTTTCCTCTTTCTGGCGGTTCCTCCTATTGGTTCTAATTCTTCCTTACAACATCACTAATGTAAAAATATGTTTAATAGGAATGTATATGTATAGCCTATATCAGATTGTCTTGGGGAGGGAGGAGGGAAAGGAGAGGGAGAAAAATTAAAAAACTCAAAAGTTTATAGAAGTGATTATTGATGAATCAAAATAAATTAATAAAAAATTAAATAAAATGAGCCTTTGATTCAAAACCAGGTAAAGATCACACTGAAAAAGAAAATGATAGACCAATTTTGCTAGTTGAAGATGACAGACCAATTTGCATTTCTATTGAAAAAATAGTAGCTAAGATGGGGGCAGTTAGGTGGTGCAGTGGATAGAGCACCAGCTCTGGATTCAGAAGGACCTGAGTTCAAATCTGGCTTCAGACACATAACACTTACTAGCTGTGTGACCCTGGGCAAGTCCCTTAACCCCATTGCCTATCCTAACCAAAAAAAAGAAAAAGACTGAAGACCAATTATGATGGTGGAAAATGTTGTCCAAAAGCTAGGCCCATGTGCCCTAGTCAACCAACACTCAGAAAAGATTGTCCACAAGCTAAGTACGCTCTCTTTTACTAGTCAGTTAACAGTCTCAAATCTTCAAGAACATGTGAAGAATGAGGACCTTGCTTAGGAGTAATGCCAGAATGGCTAATGTGGAAATGTTTCACACTACTTCACATGTATAATCAATATAAAATTGCTTGCCTTCTTAAGGATGAGGAAAGGTGGGAAGGGAGGAGAGAATTTGAGACTCAAAATTTTTAAAAGTGAATGTTAACATTTTTACATGTAATTGGGAAATATTTAATAAAATAAATAAAAATAGATTTTTTTTAAAAAAAGGAGTAATATCAGAAATTGAGCCTTTTCCTTATATAAGCTGGAGCAGTCCACACTCAAACTGCACTGCTACCAAAGACATCCTGCAACCCTCACACAGATTTCTGGCACTTGTGTCAATGTGTAGCGAGTTGGTTCAGGGCCAGTATGCCCTTTCTCTGGAAGTACTGGGGAAGACCAGACAGCTATAAGGAACATTCACACAGCAGCCCTCCCTACCCATCTGAGACTTTGACAGATACAATTCATCTCAGCACTAACTCATAGGCTCCAACAAATCTCACTGGAAACAAAGAAGATGCCCATCAATTGGGGAAAGGTGAAACAGAAAGTCTATGAATGTAATGGAATAATCCTATGTTATAAGGAACGTCTGACATGATGAAAACAGAGAAACATGTAAAGACTTAAATGAACTGATACAAAATGAAGTTAGCAGGCTTTGGAAATGATGACAACAATATAAACAAAGAACAGCAAATGCAAAACCATCAAAGTTGAACATTGCAAAACTATAGAGAACAATCATGGCCCCATCGAAGAGCCATGAGAAGATATATCCTACCCTCCCCGTTTCCTGTCAGAGGTGGGGGTCCATAAGGGTGGAATACTGAACATATTGTCAGATTTTTTCAATGTATTGTTCAGTTTTTCTTGAGGGGAGGGTTCTCTTTTTCTTTAAAAGGTGTTCTTTGTTATATGGGATGGTTCTCTGGGAGGAGAAAGCTGAAGGAGACAAGTGGAAATTTAGGGATTGTAAAAACAAAAGATAAAAATTAATTTAAAAAAAGAGAAATGAATGTTACAAAATTATTAAGTTCTTATTTTTAAAAAAGCACAAGAAGAGGAGGGTGCAAGGGGAGATCAAGCTATGTAAAAAGAGATAGCAACAAAAATCTCTCTCTTTTTTTTTTTTTGGTGACGCAATCAGGGTTAAGTGACTTGCCCAGGGTCACACAGCTAGTGTCTGAGGCCGGATTTCAAAAATCTGTCTTTTAAACAATAATAACAACAAAAGCAAAGCCCAAAAATTTATAAGGACCAAGCTCCTCCATTCCTCTAATCCCTCCCCACCCCCACAACCTTTTCTTTGCAGAAGTAGAGGATCTTTCATATAACATCAGGCTTTCTCAATATTCATTATGGTTTGGTTGAATTTTTTCTCCTCATTTTATTCTCTCCATCATAAGGGATGGCTCCCTGGAAGTGGGAGAGGGGAAGGATATAGTGGGAAGCATAGTTGATATAAAAACAAAAATTGTCAATTTTAAAAAAAATTAAAGGGGAAAAAGGAAAATGTGGTTTGTTCCTACTGGCCCTCACTATATACCTCCCAGGGATGGCATTTTGTCTTTTAGATAACTAAGAGTTATTGCTATGATTAATGTTACAATTGCTATTACTATTATCAGCATCCATCCCATAGAGAGACAGGGATGGGACTTTAGGGAACATCCTCAGGATCTAGGAAAAATGATCAAAGAAATTTTGTGGAGAAAGGGATGGATTATAGCCAACATCCTAAGAAGGGAGGGATACAGTTAGGTGACACCTATGAAATCCAGTATGGCAGAGTGGCAATATCATGGAGGGACAGGGAAGGGGTAAGAAAGGGGTCTCCTGGGGCAGCTAGGTGGCACAGGAGATAGAGCTCTGGCCTTGAAGTCAGGAGGACCTGAGTTCAAATCCAGTCTCAGACACACAACACACAACACATACTAGCTGTGTGACCCTGGGCAAGTCACTTAACCCCAACTGCCTAGCAAGGGGCAAAAAAAAAAAGAAAAGAAAAGAAAAGAAAGGGGTCTCCTTTTCATGTTTGGTTCCTTACGTTCTCTCTTCCTGGGGAAGGAGTCCTTTCAAACTATGGGTCAGCAGCCCACTGGCCATAAGAAGCCAAGGAAAGAAGGAGGGCATGCTGGCCACCTCCATGTGGCATCTTCCCCTCAGCTCCCCTCCTCCTCCTCCAGTCTATCTTCCCTCCCATGAAGCTGGAGGTCCCTAAGACCAGGCTCAATGACCTGAGAACTCCTCTTTCCATTCTTTCCCACCCCTCCTGTTCCTGTTTTTCTCTTCCTCTTTGCACCAACTCCCTGTTCCTTCCTCCTTGAAGACTTTATAATTGGATCTGATTCTGCCCCAGGACTCAGTTCTGGCCTCTCCTGAGCCCTGGATCTCGCCATGGGCTTATTGATGCTGCTGCTCCCACTACTCTGGAGGGGTAAGTAGGGACACAGCCAGGGCCGAAGGTAGTTGGATGAAGGAAGAGTTTGGGGGAGAAATAGCTCTGGAAAGGCTGGGGAGCAGGATGGGAGAACATGAGAAATCCCAGCTTCTCCCTCTCTCTCTCTCTCTCTCTCTCTCTCTCTCTCTCTCTCTCCCCCCCCCCCTTGCTATCTATCTATCTCCCCCCTGCCTCCCTCCACAGAAACCATTTCTCAAAATCCAGAATATGGGATTCATGTCCAGGAGACAGTGACTGTGCAGGAGGGACTGTGTGTTTCCATCCCCTGCTCCTTCTATTATCCCCAACAATATAAAAACAAAAACACAGTTCATGGATACTGGTACTATAACAGCTTTTGGAAAAGCAGCCTTGCAGCCACCAATGACCCTCAAGAAAGTGTTCATTCCTGGGCCCCGAGGCCGATTCCACCTCACTGGAGATCCCCAGATGGACAACTGTTCCCTGCGTATTACTACAGCCCAGAAGAATGATTATGGGAGTTACTCATTCCGGGTGAAGAAGGAGAATATGGCTTACAGTTACAGAGACAAGGCAGTATCTATCCAGGTAGATGGTGAGGACTGTGTTCCAGGGAAGTGTTTGGGGGCTAATGGGTACTCCAGGGTGAGGGCCAATGTGGGATTCAAGGAAGGACATGCTGGTGCAATGTCTTTATACCCTTGGCTAGGACATACTACAGTCCCTTCTGGGAAGAACATAACCCCAATCAAGGGTGAGCACCTCAGTGTCTGGGCACTGAGAGACAGAGCTGGAGGGGGGAGGGGTCTTCATGGGGGCCATCAAAGGGACAAACACACATACGAGGTGAGGGGGGGTGAGCCTGAGGCTGTCAGAAGGATGGAGATGCTGCAGAATCCTCTGCTTGGGATGACAGGCTCAATTCCTGAGGAAGGTGAGGGATGGGTGGGCATGGAGAGGTAAGGGTCAGGACATAGGAAGGGTCACAATGGGGGAAAAGACCTACTGGAGACATAAAAGGAATGATCCCAAGACTGTTGCCCAGATGCACACAATGTGGATCCCTCCTCCTGCAACCTGACTCACTTTCTCTCCCCTCCCCCAGATCTGACCCAGAAGCCAGAGGTGCACATTCCAGGGATCCTGAAATCAGGGCACCAGGTGAATTTGACCTGCACAGTTCCTGGGGCCTGCAGAGAAGGGACATCTATGACTTTTTTCTGGACTGGAACTGCCCCTGTCATCTAATAGATTTGCTTCCCAAGATCTCCACTCCTCCCAACTCCTCTTCACCCCCCAGCCTCAGGACCATGGTACTAGCCTCACCTGTCAGGTGACCTTCAAAAATCCCAGCGTCACCACAAAGACCACAGTCCAGCTCAGAGTTTCCTGTGAGTTCTGGGTAGGAAAAGGATGCTTGAGTGTTCCCAAGAGGAGAAGGGTGGGAGGAGATAGGACACTGGGTACCTGGATCCTGAGAGGGTTAGGCTAAGTGGCATCCTATATGTGTGTGGGGAGGAGGAATACCTGGCCTTCCCATTGCCAGTTCTGGTTTGTGAGACTGGAGGTACAATCTCATCCCATCCCTGAAGATGGGTCCTGGTACCCCAGCCCACACATATCCCTTTATTGCAGACCCTCCTTGGAATATGGAGATTATTTCCTGGGCAAATGGGACAGGTATGCTTGCAGAAGACAATTGGTGGAGGAGGGGTAGGTTGGGAAGGGGAAAGGCTTAGGAGTCAGTCTGGGCCTGACTGAAGGAAAAAGGGTCAGGGCTCTCTCCCCTTTCTCTCTCAAGGCCCAGTGTTCCTAGGAAACACCTCATCCTTGGTGGTCTTGGAAGGTGAATCCCTAACTCTGGACTGTTACACGCATAGCGAGCCCCAAGCCACATTGAGCTGGGCCCATGGAAACCAAATCCTGCATTCTACCCAGGCCTTAAATCCTGAGGTCCTGCGCCTGGAGCTGTCCAAACTAGGGATCGAGGGCAGTGGAGAATACACCTGCCAAGCCTGCAACTCACTGGGGCATCACAACCACTCAGTGAGACTCTGTGTGCAGAGTGAGTCAGAGGGAACTGGGAGGTTCAGCTGCGTGGCCCCAGAATCCCCAACCCCGTACATGCACAGCTAGACAGGAGGACTAATGAACATCACACACACACACACACACACACACACACACACACACACACACACACTCTCGATCCTTCCTCCAGCTCATTCTGTAGAGAAACATAATCCCAGGCAGGGGTGAGCACCTCAGGGTGTGCCTAGGAACAGAGTGCCAGTGCTGGGGGTGTTCATGGAGTCATCGGGAAGGGGGTTGGGAGGAATGGTCCTGAGGCTGTCAACTGAATGGACACATGGTAGGGACCTCTGATAGAGTAAATAGAGCCTCATGTTGGGGTGATAGGCCCAGGCCTTGAGGAAGGTGAGAGAAGGCCAAAGAGGGAGAGTCCAGAGTCAGGGTGCTACAGCAGGCATCTTGGGAAGTAATCTCGTGGGGGCATGGGAGGGAAAATCCCAGGTTTGTCACCTGCATGGGCAAGCTGCTTCCTGGATCGCTGTTTCTCTCCTCCCCCAGCTGTAACGCAGAAGCCAGAGATGCACATTCCAGAGATCCTGGAGTCTGGGCGCCAGGTTACCTTGACCTGTTTGGTCCCTGGGGCCTGTAGAGAGGGGAAACATTTTACCTACTTCTGGACTGGGACTGCCCTTTCTTCTCAGGGTTCTGCCCTACTGAATACCTCCAGACTCCTCTTCACCCCCCAGTCCCAGCATCACGGCACTAACATTACCTGCAAGGTGACGTTCCCAAAGGCCAGAGTGAGCACACAGAGAACTGTCCAGCTAAGGGTCACCTGTAAGTGATGGGAAGGGGGAAGCGGGATGCGTAGGTCTGCCCAGGGAAAAGAGGGCTGGCGGGAAAGGTCCAGGATCTAAGACATCAGGTGCCTGGTGAGGTACCTGAGAAGGCAGGAAGAGGTGGGGCACGATGGAGGGGAAGAAGTTGGGGGATGGGAGGCTGAAGGTTGTGATCTCAACCTATCCCAGAGGACCCTAGCTCAGACACAATTGTTCCATTTCAGACCCTCCTCAGAATGTGACCATCAGTGTTTCCTGGCCCAACAAAACAGGTGGGTTTTCAGGAAGCAATGAGGTGGGGTGTGGGGGGACAGGGAGAAAGTTCTGATCCTCCTTTGACCTCTAAGGTCAGTCTGGAGCCAAGCCAGAGTAAGAGTTGCAGCCTTCATCCCCATCCCTGGCTCTCCTTTTCTATCTCCAGGCCCAGAGTTATTAGGAAACACATCATCCCTGCAGGTCCTAGAGGGTGAGTCCCTGACTCTGGTCTGTGCCACAGAAAGCAATCCCCCAGCCACTCTTACATGGACCTACAGGAACACAGTCCTGCAATCTTCAAAGGCCTCAGATCCTGGGGTCCTGCACCTAGAACTGTCCAAACTGGGGCCCAAGGACAGAGGTGAATACACCTGCCACGCTCAGCACCGCTCAGGACCTCAACAGCACTCCATAAGACTCTGTGTACAGAGTGAGTCAGAGGGAACTGGGAGGTGGAGCTGAGGAAGGCCCCGGCATCCACATTTCCAGCAGGTGCAGGCAGCAGTGGCTGCTGGAGACTCCAGCCTGACATCTGGGTCCTGATGGCACAGCTGAGGCCTGGGGGGCATGCCTCTTCTAGCCCCCAATCTCAATCTCCCTCAGGCTGCTCTTGCTGTCCTATCTTTGAGGAGAATGGTTCTTGGCCTCTGATCTTCACCCTGCTTCGAGGAGCCCTCATGGGAGTCAGCTTTCTTCTCACCTATGGCCTCACCTGGCTCTATTACACCTGGTAAGTTGGTGTCTGTCCCTTCCTTGACACACATCGGGGATCCTGGGCCCAGAAAACCTGTAGCTTCCCCTGGTCAGGACCAGAATGGTGCCAGCAGCCTGCCTGAGCTTAGCTTCTGACAGGGGTTTGTGTTTTCTCCACAGTCAAGTCAACCAACCCCTGGACACTCTGGATAAGAGTGAGATGGACCTTCACTTAGTCCCTGTGTTCTGTGGAATCTAGGATTTGTCAAAGACACAGGACTGCTGGATAAAATCGCGACAGCTGGCATCTCATTGATGTTAAAATCTTGCTCTCTTACCTAACCAGGGACCACATTAGTGCTCAGAAATCCTTCTAGTCCCCTTCTATTGACTCCCAAGTTTACCCCCGAAAGGCACCATCCCAAACTTTCTCCTCTATTCTCAAGCCCCTGACCCCACTTTATCATCTGGCCCTCAGAAGATGCTCTGGTCTCCTACTTCCCTGAGAAGACCTACTCACCCTTCTCTCTACATCTCACCTGAACAACCTCCCTTTCCTCCTCTCCTGTTGCTCTCTAGTCTCTAAAGAGTGAGTCATCCTCCTGGTCCCTCATCTTAATCTTGAAACCATAGCCTCCTAGTTCCCCATGTCATCCCTAGAAATTTGGAAGGTAACCATTACCAAGTCCTTCCTGATCAGAAATCCACTGGACAACTTCCCTTAAAGTGGCCATGCATTTTTGCTAGGAGCCCTCATATGATGGGGTGTGCTGGACCCCCTGAAGCAACTCATTGCACTTTAATATAGCTTAGGAAGCTCTCATTGCACCAATATGGCTTACATCTCTCCCCTCTCCCCTGTTTCTTCTGGTCTCTGAGCCAATCAGAACATATCTCATTCAAAACACTAGGAGAAAACCATAATGTTTCTCCCACTTCCCCAAGTCTTTTCCTCTCCAGACTAAACATGCCCATTTACTTCAAATCATCCTCAAATGGCTTCTTCTCTAGCCCTACTTCTCCCATCATCCTGCTACCTTTTACATGGAAAAAATAGCATTATTGACTCCATTTTGCCTTTATCCACCATTTTGTGAAGCTGTAAGTCACCTGATTTTGAAGAAGTCACAAGATTACTCCCCTTCCCAAAGGTTACCTGACTTAAAGAATGTCACAAAACTAGCCCTCTCCCTCTCACTCCAGTGACTCCCAGCCCTCTCCACCAATAAGAAACCAGATGTCTCAGTCCCTATAATCCTGTTCATCACTCCCTCCAAATTGGATATTAACTGTGTAGAAACCAGTGGTCAATATCCTTGGTTACTGAGAGCCTTGGTCCCGGTTTGGTTCTGCAGCCACATACATTGCTAAATAAATCATTGTCTGGATGTAAGGATTCAGTTTCTTTATTCCACCATAACATGCCCCTCCCCTTTTTCTCTTCTATTTGTCAATATCCTTTCTAAAATGCAAGCCCCTAAACTGAACACAGTACTCCAGATAAGTCTTGTCCAGGGTAGAGGAGAGTGGAACTATCCCCTCTTTGTTACCTGAGCCCTGGGCTTTATTATAACAGGGAGGATGGAGCTGGGCATACTCACTGGCCCCTTGCTGAGGTTAGGGCCCTTGTACTTTCAGATAATGAAGCAATCACTTCTTGGGACTGTATCCCCCAACTGGGGACCATGTCCTAGAGGACTGGTTACTGAGCCAGAAAGAGCCATTCACTGCAGGCTAAAAGGATTGAGGAGAAATTGCTTCTTTAGGTTCTGCCTGGTTTGAAACACCTGGATTTCCATAAAAGTTGTTGATTGATTGATTTAAGGTGGAGGTGAGATATCTCTCATCTCCCTCAACTCCCTTCCAAACAGTGAGAACATGTACTTACCTAAGGCAGCCTGAGAGTGGATCTCAAGTTCTTTGCCGCCTTTTCTGCTTTGTGTTTCTTTCTCTAAGCATAGGTTGACCAATCAGTGATCCTGAGAGGTGGACTTTTCCGGCCTTCACAGCTCCTCTGGGAGGTCACAGGTCCCAGAAGGGGCTCAAGTGCTTTCTACAATTAACTACATCATTTCTCAGAGAAGTTGCCCCACTGCCAGAGTAACCCCGAGGCAGAGGAGGAAGAAAAGGAGGGCACCACCACTTAAGGTGACTAAGAAATCTTGAGCCATGCCACACCTGGCTAGGAGAGCTGCATTTGTGAATTGTGCAGACCGAACACTGCAGAGGTGAAAGCTCAGTACCTGTTCAGCAGTCATGCAAAGTGCCTTTACTTTTCAGAGAGGCTGTAATGATGGCAGAAGATTATTACTTAAGAATTTCTTCGGGTTGACTTCAGAAAAACCTGGAAAGACATATGGTCTGATGCTGAGTGAAGTGAGCAGAACCAAGAGGACTTTGTACACAATAACAGCCATGTTATGCAATGACTAAGATTGTTAAACTGAACCTTTCTCAGCATTATGAGGATCTAAGACATTTCCAGAGGCCTCGGGATGGATAATGCTGTCCACATCCAAAGAAAGAACTATGGAAGTAGAATCAGTATCACTTATTTTTACCTTCTGTTGAGTTTTGTTTCATCTTTCTGATGGTTCCTCGTATTGGTTTTAATTTTTACTTACAATTTTACTAATGTGAAAATATGTTTAATGGGTATGTAAATGTAAAGCCTATATCAGATTGTGTGCCGTCTTGGGGAGGGTGGGGGGGAGGAAAAGGGAGAAAAATTTTCAACTCAAAAGCATATGGAAAAAATTAAAAAATTTAAATTAAAAAAAAAAAGAATTTCTTCGGGCCGAGGTGGGGCAGGGCCGCTCTCGGGGCTCCTGTGAAGCCAAGCTAGAGAGCTCAGGCTGAGCAGGGCAGCGCATGGGGCTGGGGGGTCGGGGTGTACACTATGGCAGAGTCGCAGCAGCTGCAGGTGCAGGAGGCAGCGGACACCATGGTGAAAGGGCTGCAGTAGGAGAATATCCATGAGATGCAGGGTACCACACTCCAGTGCTGCGCCAGCTGTTGTGAAGATACCCAGGCCTCCATGAAGCAAGTTCATCAGTGAATTGAACTCTGCCATGCTCCCTTGGTCCAGGCACAGGCCCTTGTGACCAGTAAACTGGAGAAATTCCAGGACTGTCTGGCTCGATGCACCATGCACTGCAATGACAAAGCCAAAGACTTGATGGATGCTGGGAGCAAGAAGCAGAAGTTGAAGAGGCAGCTAGAGTCCTGTGTGACCTAAATGTGTCGGTGACCACATGCGCCTCATCACACCATGACTCAGATGAGGGACTCCCTGACATCTCCTGCAAAATAGAGTCATTGTCAGCAGTCGTCTGGGTGGGAGAATGGGTTTACTTGTAAAAAGTCTTTTACCTTTCAGTGAAAATTTAAGAATGAAGAAATTGAGGCTGCTAGCAAGTTTAAGAATACCTGTATGGGAATTTTGCAACTGCCTCTGGACTCTGTTGGTTCCAGTATATGTTTTAGCCCATAGGTGAAGAAACGGAAGAAACTGGTGCTCAGATATGGATTGGAGGTAGCATGGAGGGTTAACAGTACCCAGGCCCATCCCTTTAGTGAAGATGACCCCTATTCTGTCTGTTGGAGCACTTAATGGCTTTCAGCTGATTCAGAGGTATTCCATTCCTAGAGGCTGGTACAACCTGTTGGGTTTATAAGTATTAGCAGTTCTCCCCAACCTATCTCTTATCTGGGATGAATCCCTGAGGTAGCCGTCTACTTTTGTTTGGTGCCAACTTCATATCCACCTGATTGACCCATTTCCCATAGACCAAAAAGCAGCAGCCATGAGGTTGCTTGGATTAGAGCACTGAGCAGCTCCCAGGTGATCTTTCCTTTGAAGAAGCCAAGCAAAATCATAAAAGGGAAATCTCCCACCAGGCATGTGAAGCTCAGATTCCTTCACATTGGCTTGTATAGGACTGCTGCTCAGGTTACTTTTTCTTGCCCTTCTGGAAGGTACTACAGGGACAACTTCAGTTAAAGTGTTTTCTGAGATTAATATGAAATAGTTTTGAGTTAAGACCAAAGAAAGCCTCTTTTTGCTTGCAGAGCAATCTTAAGCCTCTTGCTTAATGGAATGGTAAACGATTGATTTGAGGGAAAGTAAGTTTTCCCCAAAGCAGAAAAAGATGATACCTGACCATAGTCCTGCTCATTTGCCCTCTTCAACAGGAACAACTTGTTGAGAGGACCCTCTTAGGACAAGAAAGGGTAGGAAGACAACAAACTTCTAAGCAGGTTGCAAGGGAGAGCTTTTTTCTACCCCAGAGTACATGAGGCAGTAGCACCAACTATCACTGTTGATTAAAACTTAGAGCAACACGTTAGTACCGGGCATTGTGTTGGAAAAGATCTTGTTCTCTTTATACCAACTTCTTACTGAATGCAATTAACACAGCCTTCCTCCTCAGTGTTTCAAGGCTATGTTATATTTTTCTAGTGGTTTGATTAAAACATAGCTTGATTAGGGGCAGCTAGGTGGCGTAGCCGATAGAGCACCAGCCCTGGAGTCAGGAGGACCTGAGTTCAAATCCTGGCTCAGACCAAACACTTGACACTTACTAGCTGTGTGACCCTAGGCAAGTCACTTAACCCCAATTGCCTTAGAGAGAGAGAGAGAGAGAGAGAGAGAGAGAGAGAGAGAGAGAGAGAGAGAGAGAGAGAGAGAAATAGCTTGATTTAAAAAAAAAAAAGAATTTCTTCATGCAGGTTTATTCAATATAGCATGTCGGAGATTGTCCCAGCTGAAGGACATCACTCCCAGCAGTTCTGCATGGCTCCCACCAGGTGGTGCTAGGCACAACACTTTCCTTTGTACTCCTTGTCTTGAAGGAAGCAAGAGCATCATTTTGGACAGAAGAAAGCTCTACTGAGTCAGATGCTTTTTCGTGTAGCCAGAACAGGCATCCCTGTTCTGCCTTCTGAGATTGTGAATTCTCCGCTCCTCTCTGTCAATTATACGACTATAAAGATGTGGTCCACTGTAGGAAATTATCTGAAAAAAGCTTATCTGTGCTATTCATATCATTTCATGAAGAATGATCTCATGGCTTATAGGGAACACCAAACTTTCTGGATTATAGAATGTTATCTGAGAGGGCCCTGAGCCTGAGCTCTGACCCATGTTCTGTGCCATAGGGTGAAGCAGGTGGATAACCTATACTCTCCTACCTCTCACTTTCTCTCCCAACACCATATATGCCTTATAGGTGCATCATTTTTCAAGAAACATTTATGCGACCTTGGGTTTGAGGTCAAAGTAATGAAAATATATTCACAATTTCCCCCCTTCATTTGACGGTGGCATGCAAAAGCTTTGTTCAGAAGAGAGTGTAACAAGACTAGCAATGATAAATTTTGAATGGCACCCAACAGAGCATTATGGCACATGGGTGCTTAATAATCCTTGATAATTATGGCTGATTCTGGGCATCTTGAAATTCAGTGAAAACTTCTCCAGTGTCTTCTGTTTGTCCTAGGGAATCATCAACTGATAGGTAATCAATCTTTAGTGCATTCAAAAGTATAGATACATATAGACACACACAAAAATTCCCTTGAAACATGGGCAGGTTATTCTCATCTAAATTTTAAATTGGCAAATGAATCAGCACATGCCAATATCCTATTTCCCCTTTTAGCAAAATGACTCTATTCATAGTTTGGGGCAAAGGTTTTTGTTTTTTCTGATTTTGACAGCTTCTCTTTTTTTCACATCTTCAAAAACAATCTATCTATGCTTTCCAAAGGGAATGCTTTCCTGTGCACATTGTTTCTGGGTAAACTGGTTCCAGTTTAGCTGCTCTCTCTGATTTTATACTCTTATGTGCCTTTTCTGATTTTTCACCAATCTGAGTGCAAATGTGGCAATTCCATAGTTATGAATAATGAGCAGAGGTTACGAGGAGAGTGTTGGCAGATTGATTCCATTTTTTGCCTATTTGTTGTCCTTTCAGGTTCTTTTTTTTTTCCAAATTTTCTTTTTTATTTTTGTGAACTTGGCAAACATCCACAAACATGATCATTTCCACTTCCAGAAAAAGAACAAAAAAGGAGAACCATATATGAAGCTGAGAAGTTCTGTTATATATGGCTTTGATTTTTAAGTATATAACGAATTTGCCACAGTAGTTTCAAAACTGTCCTATTCATTTTTGTCTCTTTTCCACTCTCTAGTTTATTTTTAAGTTTTATTTATCTATTTATTTATTTAAAAGTTTTATTTATCTGTTTATTTATCTATTTTCTTTTTTTGCATTAATATCATTATTGTCCCCTTCCCCCCCTCCAAAAAAATAGAAATCCTTCCTTGTAACAAATAAGTATAGTCAAGAAAAACAAGCCCATACATTCGGCACCACTAGTTCATTGTGCCTCTATCAAGAGATAGGAAATATGATTCATCATTGGTCTTCCAGAGTTGTGACTGTTCACTGCACCGATCAGCATTCTGAATTCTTACAAAGTTGTTTTTCTTTTATAATGTCTTTTGTTACAGTATATACAGACTTTTCTCTTGGTTCTGCTCACCCCACTAAGTTATCAGTTCACAAAAAAATTCCAAGATTTCACTGAATCTGTCATATTTATAGGAATGTGCTGATAAATATTTAACAACCAGCTCTTCCAAAAAAAATGACATATTTTTAGGTTTAACCTACATTATTACCATTTTCTTTAAAACTTCCTTAACTCTAGACAATCAACAAAATAATAAATCCAGCTCTGATTTGTAGCATTTGCTGATTTCCAAGACGTAAATGCTCACAATGAAAATTTAACAATTGGCTCTTGTGAACCAGCACATCTTTGAATATCTGTTATTTCTTATAGCATGATAATATTCTAGCACATTCATATGCCACACTTTGCTCAGCTATCCCCCAACTGATTGGTACTCTTCCTCAGTTTCCAGTTTTGTTTCACTAAGAAGTGCTGCAATATATATTTTTATACACATGGGTCTTTTTTCTGTTTTGTTTTGGTTTTTTACCTCTCCAGAGAATAGTGATATTATTGAGTCAAAGGGTACACACAGTTTGGTGGTTCTTTAAATATTGTTCCAAACTACTTTCCAGAATGTCTAGACCAGTTCTCTGCCCCACCAACAGTGCATTAGTGTGCCTATCTTCCCATTTCCCTTCCAACAATTATTATTTTCCTTTTTGGGATACTATTTATAATATGATGAGTCTAAGGTAGGATCTCAGAGTTGCTTTAATTGGCTTTTCTCTCATTATTAGTTGTTTGAAGCATTTTCCCTAAAGTTGTTGATAACTTGCATTTCTTCTTTTGAGAACTAGAGGTTTTGCCCATTTATCTTCTGGAGAATGGCTCTTGCTCATATATATTTCAAGCAATTTCTTATTTATAGAATGTC